GTATGCTCCTTGCGAAGGGAATATTTAAGTTAGAGAAAGGAGCACTCTGAAGTTTGCAACCCAAGCGGCATGCTGACGGTGGAGACAACATAGGAGATGATGCAATTTGGTTGGGGCTGGGCTGGACTGGCAGAGTGGGAATGCTGGGTAAGGGACCCGATCTCTCAAGATTTGCCGTCCAAAGATGACATTTCCATGTTGAGGCAGCTTCTCTCGGCTGTCGGAGGATATTCGTCTGCCAGTGAAAGATTGAATAGGCGCAGTGGCGCTATCATCGTTAAGCCGCATTTCTCGGACAAGGCGTTGAAATGGCGGCACCGTGGGCATCCAAGGAGGGCCACGATTCATGGGGCTGGCTTGCTGGCTTGCTTGTGGGCGTTCTTGGACAAGGCAAGGTGCAGCAAGCCACGATGCGCCAGCGAGATTATCGAGCATGTGGTAGCAGGACCATCCCGTCCACGATGGTCACGCCCAAACCCCCAAGAAGCGCCCTCTGAAGTCTCATTTTTTTCCGACATGACGATGTGCCTCGTGGGACAGAAAAGAGGCAATTTCCTGATACGACAGGCCGGAGGATACCGAAATTCAGAGTACGGAAAAGGAATGAGAAGTCTCAATAATGGTCTGCAAGCTTTCGGGATTTGAGCAAGACAGCTATGAACAGTGTGGGTTGAGCCGCACTGCCATTGAACGCTGGGTGCAGTGTACATAGCACAAGTATGGTAGGCATGCCATGTCCAAGGCAAGGGAAGGGATGCAGCTGAGCAAAGCGACTGGAGCAAGCCCGGTGAGCGTTGACGGTGCCGGTTGATGGTGCCGCCACGGAAAGAACAGTCATGGAAGCCTCGACCGGAAGCCTCCCAAGCTGGCGGCAGCGGCACAAGACTTCCCTTGACTCTTTTCTGTCCGTTGCTGTCTCGCTGGACGTAGCGAAAGCGGGCAAGCAGCGGGACATGTTGTCTATAGTACCAAGGAGAAGGGGAGAGATGGTCAGAGGCTCGGAGAGAAAGACGCCTGCACCAAACCGTCGGGTGTTAGCAGTCAGTGTCACCAGCACCGGAGGGATTTGGGAGCTGTCAGTTCGAGATGTTGCGTACCATCTCGACCCGTGTGCGACTCTACCAAGTGGTCTAGCACTTGTACCTGCACAACGACCTCAAAGACGGTCGGTCATAGGCTGCTCATAAGCTGCTGATTGGAGGGATGGCATTGATTCGCCGAGTGAAGGAGGGGGGCATCGCTTTGAATCGCATCCGTCACGTCGGGTTGCGTGTCTTATTGGGAGCCGATACGACGACAATGCCAACAAAGGCAGCGAGAAGTGTCCGACATGCCATTGGTGGAGTTGGGATCGGAGCGGTCACCGAAACAGAAGTCGAACTATCGGATGTCCGAAGTGACGTTGAAAGAGAGGAGAAAAGCAGTCGGAGTGTCCATCATCAAATCCAAAAAGTGCGGTGGACTGGACGTTGGGTGCTGTGTCAGGTGTGGTGCGATCGATGCGTGGTGATGGGTGGATCCTGAAGCCCCAGGAGATGAACTGTACTAACAGTGACACCGACAAAACCCCCCTTATCTGTGCCCTTATTTGATAGGGCGGTACCTGGTCACAAACTGCGGGATGGCGACGGGAGGCGCCTTCCCGAACTCGTCCTTCCATCTCCTCCAGATCACCGGCACCTGCCAAAACGCCAAATTGCAGCCCGCAGCGAGTCTGCAAAAAAACCGCGGCACTCATGCGCGCCTGCCGTTCAAGCAGAAATCAACGACAAATGGAGGTCACTCGGGAAATTAAAAGCACAAGGTCCACCACTCAGCAGAACCCAGATGATGCCTCCGCGGGACCTGCCCGACCTGGCTGAATCTCACTCACTCCCTCCGTCAGCCTCTTTCTTCATCGACTCCACCCTTCTTCCCTTCAACATCCATTCTGGATCTGGCCATCACCGACCGAGAAGGTGACGACCCATGCGTCGATCAATCATGACCCAAAGCTTAACCCTAACCGCTTCTTGACCAATCCGCCCTCTTCTCCCTACACCCTACCATCACCTCGAAACCGTCGGTGGCTGGTCTCTACGCGCCTTTGTTCTCAACGGCATGATTTATCCAGTCGAAGACCATACCAATCCAGGACTTGCTTCAAAAACGTAGTTCCGACACGGCTCGGACGCTCCGAACGGTCTAGAACATCATCTTCAAAGACTCTCAGACTCTCACAACTCTTCAGATGGCCACATTTCGTTCGGTTCGGAAAGTTCCCGATCTACTCCAAATCTCAATGGTAATGATGATGGCGCAAGGTGACATAGGCTGAACACATGTCTCATGATAATTCCCTTCGAGAAAACAGAACCGCTATTTTTACTGAGCAAACCTAGACACGATCCTCGTATAGGAATTCATGCTGGTCTATTCGTACGTCGGACGGGACTCTCGGTGGTTCAGAATACACTCGTTTCGCGTTACACGGACTCACTTCAACTTTACAAATCTGGCTGAAGGTACTTGCCAAACAGCAAAGAAGGGGACTCTATCACTATCGTCGTCATCATTTTAATGCTCACTGGAAACATGGTGCTCTGAAAATTCTCGCCATAAGTACATTTACAAGCCCCAACCGGACAGATACTTGCACAGGTCCGAAAGATAACACCGACTTGTCTCGGGACTCTTTCAATTTCCACTTTCTTTTTCCCCTTGCTTCCCTGTTCTTCACTCCATTTCTCACTGCTCAATGAACTCGATGAGATGCATCATCTCCTATTTTCGGAAGAAATGAGCAAACAAACGCAGTGGGGTTCAGTTTGCTCCGTCTTCAAGTCAAGGACTCGCACCCACTCCATGATCGCATACTGCAACTACGTACATATAACAAAACGAACAAACTGGGGAAAACAAGGTCATACGGATATTTACCTTATCCCCCCTTTTCTCCCCCACGCCACACCCACCATCACCCCTGCTTGGGTGAGAGAGATCTCTCAATTTGGTCTACTGACCGAAAAGGGAGAGGATCAGGGTCGCACAAAAAGACAGGGACACACAGAGTCAAGTAAACCTCCCATCCCGGCTCGACATCCTTGCCAGCTGAAGGTGTGCATTCGCGGACATCGATGAAAACAGACAGTATTTTCGGCAGCCATAAAACGTCTATTATACCGGGGGTGGAAAGTAATATTGCATATCAATTGCGCTTCCGAACGTCAGGTCTCTCACACACACATTGGCAATGCACCAACAATAGCCTGCCACGGCTTGGTGTCAAGCTGCAGAGAACCAACTTCGTAAAAAAAAGAAAAAAAGAAAAAAAAAAAGACGAATTGCATTGGTAGCAACGTCACGATTATAACTGATTGTTCATGCGCTAACTCATCACAATGCAAAAAAAAAAAAAAAAAAAAAAAAAGCAACAAGATGTCACAGTGGACACAAGCAAAAGGGCGAAAACGCAAAGGAACAGTCAATGGCAGCAGACTGACAAAATCGGCGGCGGCTGAAGACACAAACCCCAGCTCGACGGGTACCTGCGTTTGTCATACTCAACTTTCTTGCTGTCTTCTCCCCTTTTTCGCCCTTTTCGGGGCAGGGGTTTGTGGATTGATATTCTCTCACTCTTTGCACTGCAGTCAATGCCGCTGCTTGGATTCCATTCTCGTGGGTAGACAAACGCGGCAGTGAACTGCGTGAGTGACTGACTGGCAAGTAAAGGGGAACCGGCATTGTTGTCCACCGGTCGGTCGGTCATTTGAACGGTGTCACGGCCATGTTGAAAACGAGAGGTCAAAACAGTGGCTCAAATAATAGAGGAAGACACCAAGGACTGAAGTCTTACAGCGCACCTGTCAATAACACTTTCACGGTGCGGGGTGTATGTAATTGCCAATGGAACACGTCTGTATGGGAATTGACAAACGGACTGGTTTGAAGGAATGTGAGGAAAAGAGTTTCATTTCCCCGGTGTTCATGCTGTAAGTGATGCTTAATCAAGGGGATGATGAAGACGAAGAGAAATACTCAAAATACTTCATCGGATCTCAATCTCAACTGACGCGAGGAAGACCATTCACACGATGAATACAAGGATTTTCCAAGAGGACTCTCGTGTGGATTGGGGTCAGTGAAGGAAAAGAAATCAGACATGAAAGCATCGCGTACACGAGTGCTAGACAAACAACCCCCCCCCCCCCCCCCAAAAAAAAAAAAAAAAAAAAAAAAAAAAAAAAAAAAAGAAAGAAAAAAACAGCCATCAAACCAGACTCCAAAGACCTAATGAGTAGAGGTAAAGTAAAGTCCTAGGCTCCCGTACAGTTAGGCTGTCGGGTGATTTTTTCTACTTTCCAGTAGTCTGACTTCAGTTTCTTTCCATAATTGAGACCTCACCCGACAGGAGCAGGAGTTAGTGTTCTGAACTGACTGACTCTACCCCAAGACAAGAACGGAGGTGATTTCCTGGCTGGTATCTCTACCTAGCTTATTGTGCTGCTCACTTGCCGAGCACAATCCGTGTGAGATTCGTTATTTGTATCTTGCAGTCAGTAGGTATACATAGATAGTGTTTATCAGGCAGTGTGCACTGCAGTGGTTCGGTCAATTATCCTCATGACTGAATGGATGACGACAAGGAAGAAATGTAGAGGTAGTGTCTGGACTTGGGAAAGTCGTCATGGCAAACAATGTCGAGAATAAAATACCCTTATCCCAATATCTGGCGTATAGTGCACGATAGGAAATTTTGAGAGACTTGAGGAGACTGGTGGAGTTGGTATAGCTGTTAGGCCCCGGCCTCAAGGCTCCCTAAAAAGAGGTGCCAATAAATGCATAGAGATATGCACCTGTTCGGCAAGACAATGTGCCATGCAATTAGCGGTCATGCTGCTGCCTATACTGAATAGTTACGGATGGCCGGCTGTGGGCATCTATGGGCTGTTATGCATTATCAGTCGCATGCACGAGTGGGGGTAATGACTGTAACAGACACTTGGACACGAGAGGACTTATTAGGGTAAAGTTTCAATTTCCCAAGATAAGAAGAAAAAACCAGAAAGCCTAAACTGATATGATGTGATATATCCGGAACCCCAAAGAAAAGTAAGATCATAAGAAAATCCACATCGCTCATCATCATCAAAGCACCCTCATGTCATCCATCGTACTTTGATGTCCGTACAATTTTGCTTTTCCCTTTCCACCCTCATCACCGTCTTGCACCTTATATCCCGAGCTCGGCATTTAGAGCTTGGAAGCAGGCAACGAGTTACCAGCACTGGTAATCTCGTTGTAAAGCAAGGAGGTCAAGAAGTCGGCATAGTCCTCGCCAGTCACCTGGGTAGCGAAGTACTGAGCAGCCAGGTTGAACTTGTTGCCCTGGGGAGCCTTGGAGGCGAGCTCGTCGGTCTGCTCCTTGAGAAGCTTGAGGGCGTACGACTTGTCGACGCGCTTGCCCTCGGCGGTGGTGACGCCGTGCTTCACCCACTGCCAGAGCTGGGAGCGGGAAACCTCGGCGGTGGCGGCATCCTCCCTGTTGTGGTTGTTAGTATGATGATGATGGTGGATGCTAAGCAGATGGGGGAGAAAGCATATACGTACATGAGGTAGTTGATGGGGACGCAACCGACACCACGGATCCAGGCCTCCATGTAACCGAGACCAATGTTGAGGTTCTTGCGGATACCCTCCTCGGTGATCGAGCCGGGGACGTTCATGTTGAGCAGATCTTGCTGGCCAATCTTGACGTCCTCGCGGCGGTTGAAGAGCTGGTTGGGGGTAGGCATGTGCTTGTTGAAGACCTCAAGAGCAATGCTGGCAAGGGCGGGGTGAGCAACCCAAGTACCGTCGTGGCCGGCACGGGCCTCGCGGAGCTTGTCGGCGCGGACACCCTCCATGGCCTTGTCGTTGGCGGCCTTGTCGTCCTTGATGGGAATCTGAGCGGCCATTCCGCCCATGGCGTGGACACCACGCTTGTGGCAGGTCTGGATGAGGAGCTTTACGTAGGCGTCCATGAAAGGAACGGTCATGGTGACGCAGGAGCGGTCGGGAAGGACGAAGGAGGAGTGGTTGCGGAACTTCTTGATAGTGGAGAAGATGTAATCCCAGCGGCCGCAGTTAAGACCGGAGGAGTGCTCGCGGAGCTCGTAGATGATCTCGTCCATCTCGAAGGCGGCGAGAATGGTCTCGATCAGGACGGTACCACGGATGGTGCCGCGGGGAATGCCAACGTAGTCCTGGGCGAGGTTGAAGGCGTCGTTCCACAGACGGGCCTCAAGGTGAGACTCCATCTTGGGGAGGTAGAAGTAGGGGCCGAAGCCGCGCTGGACGAGCTCCTTGGCGTTGTGGAAGAAGTAAAGACCAAAGTCGAAAAGCGAACCGCTGACGGGCTCGCCGTCAATGGTGACGTGCTTCTCCTCAAGGTGCCAGCCACGAGGGCGGACGATGAGGGTGGGAAGAGTCCTGTCGGTGCGGAGCTTGTATTCCTTCGGGCCTTGCTTGAAGTCGATCTGGCGACGGATGGCATCGTAGAGGTTCACCTGGCCGTTGACCATGTTGGCCCAGGTAGGGGCGCTGGAGTCCTCGAAATCGGCCATGTAGGTGTAGACATCGGAGTTGAGAGCGTTGACGACCATCTTGCGGTCGGTGGGACCAGTGATCTCGACGCGGCGGTCGACGAGACCGGGAGCGGGAGGCGCACCCTTCCATGTGGGGTTCTCACGGATGTGCTTGGTCTCGGGGAGGAAGTCGGGGAGGACACCGCGGTCAATCTCGGCCTGGCGGAGCTGACGGCGCTCGAGGAGGTTCTTGCGGGTCTGGTTGAAGGAACGGTGGAGGAGAGCGACGAAGGAGAGAGCCTGGGGAGTCAGGATCTTCCTCTGGTGCTCCTCAATGGGGCCGCTGATGGTGACGCCCTGGAGAAGAGTCTCGACGGAAGCCATTGTGAAATATGTGGTGGGTATCTTTGTAAAAGAAAATGCTAATGGTATGAAATCGTTCTTGAGAAAAAGGTCAGAAAGTCAGCAATCAAGTTCAGAGCAAAGAACTATTAAGTAATGTCAAGAGCAAACATACAAACTAATACCGAAAAGTGCCGAGGATGTGAAGAGAGGATGATGTTTGCCGGAGGAGGTGGTGGAGGGGCAGACAGATTGGATGAATGGGGTATGGATAGGATAACTTGGGACAGTGAAGAGAGAAGAGGGAGCTAAAAGGAGGAAGGGGAGAGGAGTCTGTTTATCTGTCTGGAGGAATTGATAGCTTGAAGAGGTCTCGTGAAGATCCCATGCCTTTCAACCCACTTCCCATCTGGGCTTGAGTCACTCACCTAGGCAACTCGGTTTCTGGATCCATTTGATGTCCGTCTATCGAGCACTTTACACTAACGCCGTCCTAACGAGGCATGACGAAAAGAACCGGGGCCATGCATCTTGTCGATGGCTCGGCAATACTTGATGGAGCCCCCTTGGCGGGGTTGTGTTACCGACTGTTAATGATATCTCGGCTCTTTTGCGGTTGTCCTTATCAGCTCGCATCTCGAGATACCTGCCTCGGGCTAGGGGCAGTCTCCCATGTGGCTCTTCGCGGTTTGTCCCGGTCTAGGTACGATGGTACCCTGGAAGGCAAATCGATGCTCATCCTTTCACGAATCGTCCACCTGCTGTAACATACCGGTGTAAGTCGAGTCTCCATTGTACTTCTCCATGTCTCCAGCACAGGTGGTTTGTTGTTGTCCCGCATCCACTCCTCGCCAAAAGGCGGCATTCACGGTAAACGATTAATTGCTGCTTCAATGACCGTTATCTCATGTTTTTTTTCATCCCTCTGTTCGACTTGGACGTCTTGAGCTTCAAGCAAAGGCATCATCTCGTCAAGAAGCGGCCGGTCACCCAATCTTACAAAAGAATGAAAGCTGTATGTAATGGATGTCGGGGTAATCGACTTTGACATGTGACGGCTACCGTACGGTACATTTCCACTGCAGTCCCGGCTGTGAGGTCATCGGTACGAAGGGGAAATGAGGTACCCTTGTACCTTACCGGCCAACCCCGCCATGTGAGCGGGGTCCGCCCGCCAAAATCACCCAGAACTTGTGGGGGACTACGGCGGCTTGCAGTCACGCTTTAACGCGGGACTGGTGAGCTCCATACCCGAAGAAGGAAGACTCGCTCGCTTTATCAACTTCTTATCAACTTGATCGCTTTCTCAACTCATAATAAAGTTCTGGGTTTCTCGTCTCTCTCTGCTTACAAACCAGACATTAATTGTCAGGCCTTGAGTTACATTCAACGACATTCAGTCCTTATTTCCATCAGCTCAACAAAATACCCGGCTCCGATATCGTTTATGAATGACACCAATCAATAGGTCAGCTGACGAGATAAAGTCCAGCTTTCTCCCACTTAGGTTCTTTTTCTAGGCTCCCCTGTTTGCTCGATACCTGTGCTCCAAGTCTCCCCTGCTTCGCTTTCGACAAGCTTTCTCTTGGCTTGGAGACGCTTTGTTTCGTCCACCGTTCCGCGTACCTTGCAAGGGAACTTCCCCAGGCCCGGCGACTTGCCCCGCCATCCATCCGGGGCTCAAAAAGAGTGCCACTGGCTATCACTCGACTGGCCACTGGGTGTCCAGGGGACAAACCACTGGACGACCAACGGGAATGCATCCCCATGTTTTGGGTTTGTCTCCGATCTGCCGGCGCAGAGCCGAGGTCGACTCCTTTCGGGTGTGGGGAGAACAGGGTTCATGGACACTTTACCGACTCTTTCCGATCCACGTCGTCCGTGTCTAGTCACGAGAAGTTCGCGACTCCGAACTTACACGATTCAAACAGCGACAATCCAAACAAAGCAGAAAGACAGAGACAAGACAAGGATCGATCATACGTAGTGACCCAGGTCCAGTCCAATCACAGACCCTTCTGTCCTGACCGTGACCCAAAATAGGAATGGACCTCTGTATGGAACGCCAAAACCATGAAGCCCAAAAAGTTCCCCAGGCCCGAATAAGGTCCATATTTGGATACGGGTTTGACGGGCACGACGGGGTATAGTCAACTTGACAAGGTTAGACCAAGCTTGCCTCTTGCCTGCCAGGAACATCGTGCCTCTCAAGGTTCTCGCCAATCGCGAGGTGGTGATCACCTGCGATCATCACGAGAAAGGCAAATACAGTACTTCCAACCTTGAACCGTTACTGTAGTAGTGTACACTATGCAAGCTCGAGGCAAGTTATCGGCGATGGACGTCGATTGGTACACTATGACAATGTCCGATTATTGCCGTAGACCGGACATAAGAAGCTCCTCCGGGCTCGGAAGTAGTGTACCAGCGGACTGGAAGTCGTCGGCTCAACTTTCGAAATCTTTAAGAAATACTGCGAACTCAACTAACACCGACGGGTGTCGGTTCCCGGAGGGGGGCCGCCTGCGACTGGGATCATCAATTGGCCACTTCCGATCCAGGAACCAGCACTTTTTGAACTATCTGGCACCTGGGAACCCGAGACGGGCGTTGACATACAGACAGGCTCAAGGCCCGAACTCCGGCCGGTCCGGACGCGGGAGGCGGGAGGCTCCACAATTACCGAACTTGTTACGTACCGATCCTTCGACATGCGGTCCACTGATCTCACCGTGCTCACCAACTTCGCCAAGTCGACTTGTTACGCTCACCATCTTCACAACTGCAAATGCGTAAACCCACCTCCTGACACCGATTGTCCGAAACAACATCATACCTTGCATCAACCATGCAACGTACTAAACGTAGGTACATAGGAACTGCACCAACCGCAGTGGCAAGCTTGCATAGCATAGCCTACCGAGATACATGGCAGCACATAGGCAGCGTACACACATGCTACATATGCTTTTTCGGATTCGGTCAAAGGGTAGGTACAGACAGTTCAGTTCCATCTGTAGGTACTCACCGCAGGCAACCGGTAAAGTCTCTAGAAAAGAAGCCCAATGTCAGCTGTCGAAACGTTACCTTTGCACATGATTACATGACGAGGCACACTTTGCGAAAACAAAGAAAGACCGCAGAGGAGAAAATAAGGTTCAGGAGTATCTAGGGGCAAAAAAGGAGACGAAGTAAGTACGAGACCAGGAAGAGTTGGAAAGAAAGAAGAAAGAAGAAAGAAAGAAAGAAAGAAAGAAAGAAAGAAAGAAAGAAAGACGTAAGGATGAGAATCTTTGATCTCTCGTACGACCATCTGTCTTCGCGAAGAGACGATCTCAGGAATAGGTAGGCAGAGAGCGGAAGGAATGAAATTGGTTGTGGTTCAGCGCTGGGACGAGACGTCGCGGATTCTACGAAATTAGTCTCTGTATCATGGGGCAACATCTCTTCAAGGACTCTTCAAGAACTCCAAGCACTCTTCAAGCACTTAGTTTCCAATGACTTTTCAAGATCTCTTCAAGTTCGTGTCAAGGTCCCTTTACGTTCGCATCAAGGCATACTTCTCAGGAAAGTCAAGAGACCTTCATCACAAACATTCAATCACACTTCCGTTCTGGAGTTGCTTCGAAACTCAATTCTTCGGATGAGAACTGTCCGCTCGGCCCGACGAGATCGTTGGGATTGAACTGATTGATATGTTTCATCCCGTCTATCCCATCTCATCTAGTTCCATTTATCTCGAATTTTGCTCATTAGCCCAGGTCTGCCAAGATAACCCCAGTGTGGCAGGGAGAAGAGTGCTAGTTGATTGACAAGTGGGAAGTTTGGACATAAGGGGGTACCTACTTAGCCTTAGATGCCTCCTCTCCTGAACTGCTTTGCCTGGATCGCGAAACATGCTACCCTCGTGGCGCAACGAGGAAGTGAATAGAAGGGATATAAGATCTTACAAGCTCCCGTAAATTCATACCACGCAACATCATCTTCAACAAGCACGCCAGGCAGCTCACTTGGAGCAGTCGAATACAATAAGGACTCAAGAGATGTACTTCAAAATGGTATCATTGAGGCTTCATTCTACATAGAATTACAAATCATCATCACCTTCCCTTCCCCCTCTCCCTCTCCCTCTCCCTCTTCATCCCCCTGCCCAGACCAATCAACAGTCAGAAGACCTAACCCTTATAAGGCTGAGGACCAATCATCAACTCAGGCTTCACCAAGGCATCAAACTCCTCCTCCGTCAACGCGCCCAGCTCGAGCGCCGACTGCTTGAGGGTCAAGCCCTTCTTGTGCGCATTCTTGGCTACCTTGGACGCCATGTCGTAGCCAATCTTGGGGTTCAAGCAAGTAACCAGCATCAGACTCTCCTTCATGATCTTGGCGATCCTCTCCTCGTTGGCCGTCAAGCCGTGGACCAAGTTCTTCTCAAACGAGCGCATGCCATCGGCCAACAGGCGGACAGAGTGCAAGAAGTTGCGGATGATCAAAGGCTTGTACACGTTCAGCTCGAACTGGCCGTTCATGCCGCCAATGGTGGTGGCCACGTGGTTGCCCATCACCTGCGCGCAGACCATGGTCAAGGCCTCGCACTGGGTGGGGTTGACCTTGCCCGGCATGATGGACGAGCCGGGCTCGTTCTCGGGCAGGTTGAGCTCGCCGAGGCCGCAGCGGGGGCCGGAGCCGAGGTAGCGGATGTCCTGGGCGATCTTGGTCAGGGAGGCCGCCAGGGTGTTGAGGGCGCCGTGGGCGTGGACGAGGGCGTCGTGCGCGGCGAGAGCCTCAAACTTGTTGGGGGCCGTCTTGAACTCGGTGCCGGTCATCTTGGTGACTTCCTCGGCAATGGCCTCGGCGAAGCCAATGTACGTGTTGATGCCGGTGCCGACGGCGGTGCCGCCCTGGGCGAGCAGGCGGAGGTCGGGGAGGGACTCCTCGACGCGCTTGATGCCGAAGTCAAGCTGGGCAACGTAGCCAGAGAACTCCTGGGCGAGAGTCAAGGGGGTGGCGTCCTGCAAGTGGGTGCGGCCGATCTTGATGATCTTCTTGGCCTCGAACTCGTCCACCTTGGCCTGGAGGGCGTCGCGGAGGGACTTGAGCGCGGGCAGGAGCTCACCCTCGACCTCGAGGACGGCGGCGATGTGCATGACGGTGGGGAAGGTGTCGTTGGACGAGGCGGAGCGGTTGACGTGGTCGTTGGGGTGCACGGGCTTCTTGGAGCCCTTGACGCCGCCGAGGATCTCAATGGCACGGTTGGAGATGACCTCGTTGGCGTTCATGTTGGACTGGGTGCCGGAGCCGGTCTGCCAGACGACGAGAGGGAAGTGGTCGAGGAGCTTGAGGTCGGCGACCTCCTTGGCGGCCTGCTGGATGGCCTCGGCAATCTTGGGGTCTATAATTCGCCAAGGGTCAGCTTCTGCGCGCATGGCTCTTCCAGAGCTCCCAAGAAGAGGGAATTCACGTACCAAGGCCGTAGCGCGTGTTGACTTTGGCGGCAGCGCCCTTGAGGATACCGAAAGCCTTGATGATGGGAGGAG